GTATATTTATATGTGAGAAATTGGGCATTTAGTGATTAAATTTGTAATGATATTGTGTCATTTAGGGTTGAATAGTGATAAATTCATAAATTTTATAAATGAGTAAGATTTGGTTGATTTTATTTATCACTTAAAGAATATGAATTTGATTGTATTCTATTAGTATTTTTTTTTTTGCTTGAGGTATTTATTACATGGGGATAGAGTGGATTAGAAATATCATTGTTAGTTTATAATTATGTTGTGTTATTGGATTGAGTGGTAATAGAAGTGATAAATTCGTGAGTCTTATAAATGAGCAACATTTTATATATTACTTAATAATTGTAACTTTCAATGGAATTATGTTAGTATTTTTTTTTTCCTAGAGACATTTGTATATACGATGTTGGTATTGTTTTTGAGAGTTTTTATATAATTTTTATGACAGTTTCATTAATACGAAAGATATGATCGGCGATATATTTTGATTCATTTTAAAAAAAGAATTGATATGAATATTTTTAAGTCATTCATTTTAAATTTGGGTAATTATTTAAGATTTTATTTGTTTGTTATATAGTGTTTTCAAACACGGGTAATGATTAGTTATAATAAAGTGGCTAGATTTTCTTTATCTTTAACTTTTTGCGACTTAGATCTCTTGACGATTATTAATCCGACGGTCCTCATGCCAAAAATTTTTAAGACTCTTATATCTTATTTAACTCTCTTTCTCTCTCTATCTCATCTACATTAATAAGATAGAGGTGATTTCAAACATCCCAAATTGAAAATCAATTTTCTCAATTAATTAATGATTTTAATTAATAATTAGTGAATTTTAATTAATTATTTTTTTTTGTATTATAAAGCACCTTTAAGCATGACAACTAACTAGGAGGCACACTATATTAATTTTACAAGTTATTTGGCTTCTACGGGATTAGTGAATGTATTTAATTATTGATATTAGCCTCAGTTTAGTGTTAGTTTATTTTATAATTTGTATCTTATTTATTTTGTATTAGATGTTTTCGATTATTAAATTGCAGCAGTTGATAAACAATGGTAATAGCGATATTAATGTGATGTGACAAGATTATTGATTTAAGATAGTATTTATTTACAAAAAAGTTTGATTATGAGTTGTACACACAAGTTGATATTGTCAATTAGATCATGTTTTCAAGGAGAACTCTATCGAAATTTTTTTAAAGATAAAAGTTGGTTTATATTAACTACTGAGATTTTATGTGTTAAACTAATTATTTTGGTTTGATATTCACGTATATAGTCATAACTATATATAATATACTGTTGGTAGTAGTATTGTTGAACAATTAGTTTTATTTGTTACATCAATTATTTTGATTTGGTATGCCTTTTAAGTAAAAAATATGTGTATAATTTTTAGAATATATAAATATACATATCATATTTTTTTAAAAATTTTGAGGGTGGTCTCGTGCCCACCTGCGCCCCTGTACAACTTTGCCCATGTATGTCATTTTATATATATTTATATGATCCTAATTGAATTTTCATTATTTTTACATCTCTCTCCTATCTCTCACACATTTTAAACACACACTCTCATTTCTCATATAATTCTATTGTCCTATTTTTCTATTTACTTCATACTCTTTCTCTCTCTCTCTCTCTCTCTCTCTCTATCCTAAATGCATATAATAATAAAGTAATGAGAGTTGGAGAGTTATATATATTTAATAATAATAAAATACATGTAATAACCATTAAAACTCTCATCTCTTATAAGTTTATCCCATCTCTTATATAACTCTCTCTCTCTCTCTCTCTCTATATATATATATATATATATACCCGCTAACACACACACACAGTAATATCGACTCCTACCCAAAAAAGAAGATATTTTTTAGGTATAATGATTAAATATATAAATTGTGTATATATTGATATTTGTAGGAGTCAATGTTTTTAAAGAAGTTTTGTCAAATTTTTTTAGAAAATAATATTTTCAAATTTATTTTAAATTTGTAACTAAAGAAAATAATAAAAAATAAAGTATTGTTTGAAAATATTTATATTGCATGACCAGTGTTAGAGGTTTTTTGAGTTAATTAGTGCCTTCAGGCACAAGTTAGTTACTAGTCTTTTATATCGGGACTTGTAACTTGATCTAACGTTAGTCTTTTATATCAGGACTTGTAACTTGATCTAACGTTAATATTATATGACAAGTAGATTAATTTAGTCCAATTTTATCTTTTAATACCCCAAACAAATATGTCTTAATTCCATTGTGGTAATGCAATAAGTTTGCTGGGAAAACATGCCATACATTAATAATGTTACCATTTCTTGCGTATTGTTCTAATGTGAAAGATGGCTAGGTGGACTAAATCAATGGATGAGATGAACTGGATAATTTTGATAATCTAAGCAAGCATGCTGGCAATTATCAAGTATAACATTGACTTATTCATTGAGATGGACCATTACATTCAACCATAGGCCACTATGATTCTAGAATGATCGCAATTTTAATTTACAGCTCAATGCAAACAATAAAGTACCGCTTCAATATAGGGTCCGTCGTCTTATTATTCAGTTGGTGAATATAAGACAAAGTGGCCTTAATTTTTGCCAAAGACAACTCAAACGTTATATGTGCAAGCCTTTGACATCTGTTTAAGAATTTCGACAATTAAATAAAAGAGATGAAACACAGAGATTATGATTTTGTGTACGTTTACAAGTTTTTTTTCCTACTAAATCGACTCCTTTCTCCATGATTAGAGTGGAGAATTAACTCAGGGGTAAGTGGATGAGAGGAAACAAGAAAATGATGATTGATATTAGTGACATTAACCTCTCCATTTTACAAGGGAAGAATGAGTGAATATTATGTCAAGGTCATGGGTAGTAAGTGGTCCCTTTTCTTAGAACTAGCATTTAAAATTTGAACTCTCCAACTAAGCAAATTGACAGCTTGGATAAATTCGATAATTATGAAATTTGACTACATATATTCGTAAAGGAAACCAAAATTTATTGCTATTACATATAATTTTTAATGTGGTCAAAGATAAACTTTCAAAAAAGAATGACAAAATTTCAAAAATACGTGTTTATCTCAATGTAAAAGCACCAATAATCCACAAACTCCCAATTGAAAGTTACAATCATCCTCCAAATAATCTAAAAATCAAATCTTGTGAATTTACAGCCTTGTGACAAGAAATATTTCGCAAGCATACAGAAATTAAATGTCGACCCATAAGTTCATTTAAGTTTTTTTTTTTTTGCTATTTAAAAAAAGGGGTGGGAGCAAGGAAGAGCGCTCAACGACTATCCCGTTAGGCCCTCAGCAGTGAGATCATAAGGTACTTAACCGTGTTTAGCATAACAGCCAACCACCGAGCCCTAATGAAAACTCCAAGACTCGACAATTCATTTAAGCTTAACATTTCAGTCTTATCCACCTTAAAACCCAGAAAGGTAAATAAAAAGTGAGTTTGACAACCAAATAAATAGATTAATCGCAATATACAAAGAGCAAAATAAAAGGAGTTTTAAGTTGTATTGGGTAATTATGATTTCTATTTTAGGATACTAAAATAATGATTTCTTACAAAACCATGGGCCATAATAAACAAATATCTTGTTAAAAATAAAGCTACTCACTAAAAACTAATCACTTTCAGCTTGACCAATGTTTAAACGTATGATGCTGGAGAAAAATAGCATGTGATTGTAAATGAATAAGATAAAATAGTTACAATTATGATACCAAAAATTATTTTTTCGATATCAAATCAAGGGATGCTACAGATAAAGACAATATTACAACTCAATTTGGTGAGGTTAAAACAAAATGAGTTCATTTGATATTGTTATTAATATTTAGAATCGATTCCAAATATTTTAGGACCTAAATTTTGTTCCCCCTTAACTCAATCTATTTTTTCTTTTTTGGTTAGAATAACTTAATCCTCTAGAGTTATAACTTTTTTTTAGGTAAATACATTAAGTTAAAAATTGACTCAAAAAAGGACTTCACTGTGGTACCAAAAAATAGAATTTTTGTATTATGCCGAAATTTATTATATTTATTGGTATTTTTATTATTGTTGTTGAAGTTTTTATTAATGTTGTAGTATCCAAAAAAAAGTAGTAAAAAGACCTACAAATATTATAAATCTCTCACAAAAGTGGTATTTTTTTTATAGAAAAAAAGTTGTAAAAATAGTTACCACAACAATAGTAAAAATATCCACGACGGTGATAAAAATACATATAAAAATGATAAAACACTTATAAAAATAATAAATTGTTGAATTATAAAATAATTGACAAAAATTATAAAAACATATTTTAAAATAATAAATTTTAAAAGTAGGGTACAAATGTTTTTGTGGGTACTATAATAAGTCCAATTTATTATAGGCAATTGAAAATGCACCTCAACAAAATCTATCAACATCCGACAGCTACGTATGACATCCGAGGTCGGCAACATTCATGGGAAGTGAAGTTCTACGAGGCCAGGAAAAGAAAAAAATCAAAGAGAGCATCTAAGATTCTAAACGGATGGAGCAGCTTTAAGCTATGAATCTAGTCAATTTTTGAGAGTGTTTGTGATTTTTAGCCAACTAGTACCACTAATGGACTTTTCAAATTGCTATGATTACGCCTAAACAACAAGAGTTTCACTACGATTATCCCCTCAAACTCTTTTTTATCATTAAAAAGATAATTTCTTTGCCTCACGTCATTCATTTTGGCGTTTAGAAATAACAACTTGATCAAGAACAACCGATATACATTCGAAAGAAGGCAAAACCCATAACTCTTCATTGACATCAGAATCACAATAGCCAAAATTGGGAGAAACGACATACCCTCTCATTCTATACACAGCATCACTATTATTCAAAGGTGAACAACACAACACAGCACAAAACAAGAAAATATATACAAGAGAGTGAGTGCCTTGAGGCCATTGTACCATAATGCATTAACGCTTTATGACCCTATCACCATTCCTTATGCCCATCATGTCTAGTCCATGTCCCATCATAAAACCTCAAGCCGCAATGCTGCAATTCCCGTATCATCTTCGTACCACATCTCAAGCTATCTTATCCAAGGGTTTGGAGCTTCTGAAATTTTAAATCTTTGCTGTTTCTCCGTCCAAAGGAAACAACTTCGATACCAGAATAAAACCCATAGAGAATGCCACCTGAACTGTATCGAATAAAACCCATAGAGAATGCTCCCTGAACTCCTGTTGATTCTGCATGTAAGCTGAATGAAAGACAACTTGAATAATTGCACCGACAACCTTGAAAATGGGAAAAAAACCGAAAAATTATACCAAAAATTATAACGTTTTAAGGTCAAATTAACAAAATTATGATCGATGATGAAGAAAAATATAATTTTTACATGATCAATCATCTCTCTTTGAGGGAGTCCTCCAAAACCCAGCCCCATTAAACCGGTCCCACATTTCAGCATCCAAAACCATCCCTTCATCGTCATCATCACCGTCCGTTTCATCACCGTTGTGCATCTCCATGGGCCCTCTCTTAGTGCTGTTCTGCTGCTCCAACAAAGCCTTCTTCTTCAACACCCTCTTTCTCTTCTGTTTTTTCCAAGCCTTTTTGCACAGCCCAGTGGGGACTTTGTAGACGGCCAAGATGAGGAGGTGCATCAACGAGCATGGACAGCAGCAACACACCGCGGCGCACTCTGCTGCCGTCCCACCCGCCACCTCTCCGATCCGATGGTTTGGCTTTTCGTTTTGTTGCGGTGTCAAGAGTGGTTGTCTCCGGTAAACTCCGGCAGGAGGAGACTCAAACACAATCTGCCGAGTCATCGATGGTGGTGTAAGGAGGCCACTGGGTACTGGTGCTGAGTTGACTCAGACGAGTCACTCACTCACAACTCGTTCTCTCTCGCCCGAGTCAGAGCATGCACAGACGAATAAGGTGTTGATCGAATCAAGGGGAGAAAAGGCAGCAACCAACAGAACAGAGAGAAGATTGGGGTGGAATCTGAGATTGTGGCCTGATTTTGTTTGCTTTGCGGGGACAAATGAATTGATTAAGACGAAGTAGGGATTGTGGAAGATTCTAAAGGTATCTGTGTATCTGGGTTTGGGTATCTGGTTAGAATTTCTGGGAAATTTGAAAATTTTTCCAGGAAAATGGCTTTCTAATCCATATCAAATCTCACAACTCGGTGAAAACAACGAAACCGTAAACTGTGATCTTGTTTGCTTTTCGACAAGAAATGAAATTGATGGTAACAACGTATAACATTCTAAAGATATTTGTGTATCTGGGTTTGGGTATCAGGCTAGAATTTTTGGGAAATTTGAAAATTTTCCAGGAAAATAGGTTCCCCACCCATTTCAAATCTTCACAACACGGTGAAAACAGCGAAAACCTAAGCTGGACATTCCAATGACAGAGAGAACGGAATGAATGATTTTTAGAGAGAGCGAGAGAGAGAGAGGAGTCTGACGTTTGGAATTGAGTTTGTACAGCGAAAGGGGCCGCAACAGTGAATCTGTATATATATATTTACCCCTGCCCCCCTAAAAAAAGGGTAAATTTCATTTTTGTACCCTCAAAGTTATTTGTTTCCTGAATTACCAATTAAAACATTCCTTAATCTTTAATTTCTTTTTCAGTTAAGTCCGTCAGTTATTTTTTTCCTGGTCACTATTTTGAACTTTTACAAGGAAGAAGACAATGAGGTTCAAATCCACGACCTACTAGTCTAACGGTGGGCTGCGGCGACCATTAGACCAACTGTTAATTCTTGGTTCAAATTTGTCAATAAATAAAGGGGTGACGGAAGCATAACATGATCTAGTCAATAGGTTAATTTTGAATAAGTTGGCCCTAATGTTAGAGTTTTATGTATGAAAATTACATTTACCATCTCATTTGCATAAATTTAAGTCTCTAATTAGATGTATTGACTCACCTTTTAAGTTGTTGACTCATATTTACGTTAATTTAGTCAAAGTTATATATTTGATTAAAATACATAATGTTCACGTTATCTTTTTTGTTATAATTGCCGATGAATTTTAACATAAGAATTTGCTTAAAACTAATCATAAAGGTTAAAGACTTGATTGTTGTAATTGATTATTGAGGGACCAAAGTGTAAACTTTTGAGGGTATACATAATAATTCACCCCAAAAAAAAACCTATCAACAGTAAATATACAACAACATCTCCTGCCAGTTGTGTTTGTATGACTCCCAATCTCGTATTTTTTATTTTGTGTTATTATTATTCGTATCGTGTTCGTGTCAAGATCAAAAAAAAAAATTATTTAGTGTGTTCAGTATTAAACATTAGTTTAAGTTATTTATTATGAGTATTTTACAATCGTTTTAATTTTATAATTATTTGTATCGAATTTGTATCAATAAGTCAGAGGTAACACCTAACAAGCATATAGTCGGGCAGTTATTTCCACATGTTTTTTCTATTTTGTGGGGTCGGGGTTCAGACTCAAGAAACTCACGCCATTAGTTAAAAAAATATATATATGTAGGATTACACTAAACTCTATAAAGTTTATTACTTAATCACTCAAATTCCTGATGTTTGAAATATTACACACAAATTTTTTAAAATTTATACTTGCGTAACATTTAAACTTTTATCGTTAATGTCTATTAGTATATCTTTTAGTAAATTATACTCAAATTCCTTAAAATTTATAAACGTATAATACTTAGTCTCCTCAAGTTTAAAATATTATACTTAGATAAAAAATATTCTAATTAAATATCAAATATCAAATATTTTAAATTTTATAACCAAAATTCATGTTCTACTATGACATTTATTGAAATAAAATAAAAAAATAAAAAAATTATTTTTTTCTTAAAAAATCATAATTAGTATACAATTATATTACGTATTGGAATTTAATTTAGTCATTTAAATGACCAAATTAAGCTACCAAATTATCCTAATTAAAGTTAGAAGATATTGTGTCTATTATAGTTTGACCCATTTTTTTGATTTTTTAATTTTATTCCAATAGATAATATAATTGTATACTAATTATGATTTTTTTTAAAATTATATTTTAAATTTTAATTTTATTTCAATAAATGATATAAGAGAACATGAATTTTGATTATAAAATTCATGTTTTATTATGAATGACTTAAATTCCTTGTTTAATTTTTTTAGTTTTATTTCAATAAATAGTATAATTAAATATTCATTACGATTTTTTAAGAAAAAAAAATGAATTTTTATTTTTGATTTTATTTTAATAAATGATATTATATAACATTGTATTTTGTTTGTTTTATCTTTTATTAGAGTTTTTGTGGTCTAAGTACAACATTTTAAACTTGTAGAGTTTAAGTATTATACGTCTATAAATTTCAAGAGATTTGAGTGTAATTTACTAACGAATATATAATAGACATTAACCATATAAGTCTAAATGTTATGCGCATACAAATTTTAGAAGTCTGTATATAATATTTTTAATATCTGGGGGTCTAAATAAATAAATGACAAACTTCAATAAATTTGAATATAATTCTCTTAAAAAAATATAGATAAGGGCGAAAAAGAGGGGAAAGGAGTGGACAGACGTGTATCCCGCAATACCAAATAGACAAATGTACGCAATTAAAATTTATGAAGTGAGGTTGGCGTTTTTAATTCCGTCAAGAAACCCATTTCAATGCTCCTCCTTGTAAGGCAGCAAGGCCGGTTTCGTGTGGTACACTGAATTATATTTTTTTTTTTAATTTTTATGCTTATTTTATTATTTTAGTAATTAAATAAATAAATATAAAAAAAATTGAAGTGTTTAAAGGTAATTTGTTTAATAGATTTTGAAGAAAGTAGTTTGTTTTTTGGATAGGATCTGATAGGAAGGAATTCTACATTTGAATTTAAAAACTCAAAATCGTATGTAATATTATATATTAGCGATAATTTCTTGTGATGCACGAAATTTGTATTTCATCATTTTCTATTAACCTTTTTAGTTTTCAGTATCATCTCTTCTGTTATGGCCCACCATTTTTTTTTTTGGTAGAAACGATAGTAATTTTATTAATTTGGAATATCTACGAGACGAGAAAATACGGTGAAATCAGATGCCTCTTTTTGCCATAGGTCAAACATTGAAACAAAATGAGCATTTCTAATTAAGTTATGTGAAGCTCTATTTCTCATCCTACGCACATTAGACAACTTAAAATATCTAAAATCTATGAAACACGGATATTTTATTGAGGTTGACGTACCCATATCGGATACTGTATAAGATATGATACTCGTCAGATACTCAAAGATACATATCGGGTACACCTTTTACGTATCCGATAATAATTAAATATTAGGATATTTTACGGATACTTTTGTAGTTAAGCAACAAATATAATTTTTTATTTAAACTTTTAACATATCTTTTTAAATTCACATGTCATACAATACATGAATACAATATTATTTCAAAGGCACGTGAGTATTTTTTAAGTATTATCTACAATTACATGTCAAAAGGTATAAAATAAAGTTATTACATTATAATCTTAGCAAAAATTACTTCTAAATACTAGGTAAATTTTAGCTTTGATTCATTTAATTAGTCACTTCACTTTGTTAATATACCACAGCAACACGATCTATATTTTCTTGAAATTAAAAAGAATTATTAATTTTTTTTATTATATATTAAAGAACTACCAAAATATATAATAATCAAAATATTAAAAATATTTTATTATAGTCATATTTTGACGGTACTTGTATCCTACTTTTTTAAATTTTGTCATATCGTTATATTCGTATCATATCGTACCCGTATTTCATATCTGTATCCTTGCTTCGTAGTCTAAAATTCAACTTCGTAGACTTGATATCCAGTAGAATGGCACTTAGAGGGGAAAAATCCTCAGCAGCAGCATCAATGGATTTAATCAATGATATGCAGTCTCATTTTAATGTAATTGCATCACATCACATCCTTGTCTATGAGCAAAGAGGAGTGCTTCCCTCGCAATTTGAAAATAATATTAAAATATTGAATAGTAAAAATAGTTTTATGAAAGCAAATTTGAAAAAAAACAGTGGGTAGTTAGTGGAGAAGTGAGGGATAATTACAAAAGAAACATGATAAAATGTGATTGGAAGAATATTTGGTATGATAATTTTTTTAAAAAATAAAAATTCTAAAAAATTAAACAATATGCAGGAAAATCTTCTCAAGCCTTCTACTTCCTAATTTGTTTGTTTTTTATATATATACTAACGTCGACCCCCATGCGATATACGAAATTTATAATTTATCAAATCTTTCTAAATTTTTCCCATTATTTTAGATATTGCGTAATAATTATGGATTAATTAATGGGATGAAGGATAATTTTTTTAAATAAGTGGTAATTAATTAAGGTAGCAATTGTGTATTTATATGGGAAATGTGACCGAACATGACTTGATAAAATATTATTTTGTAATTAAATGAATAAAAATTTTAAAAAATTAGAGACCGAGGAAAGAATGTTTTTCAAGTCTCCTCCCTCCTAAATTGTCTCATGTTATCAAGTTTGGGGGAGAAAATTATGTGATAAGGTAACAAATAGCCGTTTTGCGATGTATTTTCAAATGTCTAATTGGTGTTGAAGTGTGTAAGTGAGGAATGTAGATTATTGGATTTCAATTAATTAATTAAAAATAAAATTAATCTTAATCGTTATATTTTTATAAATTGTGAATTTAATTTTTTAGTTGCAATATTAGAAAGATAATGGACTTGATTGAAAATTGTTGATTTTTGATTTGATTGATTTATTAATAGTAGTTATACAAATAATATAAAATAATAAAAATTTTATTAAATGAAAAATAGAAAATAGAGTTGCGTTGTGGGATTTTTTTTTTTTTTTTTTGCGTTTGGTAACCGGGCACTAAAGACGAGCAACAAATGTATTTTGATGTGACTGCGGCGAAAAAAAGACAAAAAAAATATATATGCTGACGTGGCGATTATCTGTCTGCTACAAAGGTGATGTGGACCTCTCGCTGTTCATACTGTGGCCGTTGACTAGGATCTCAACTGCCCAAAATTCCTTGGATTTTAAAACGGATATTCTGCCGGCGCAAGATTCTAGATTCCGCCGGTGACTCTATGAGGGTAGAATTGTCTTTACAAACCTCTATAACTCTGGAGTTTTAAGGGGTATTTGGTAATTGTCTTTATCTTGTGTTTTGTATTTTTATTTTTAATTTTTGTTAAAAATAAAAATAAAAATATGTTTAGATACTATTTTTGTTTTTGTTTTGTATTAGAAGTTTGGAAACAAAAACAAAAAAATGGGAACAAAAAAAAGATGTTCCAAGAAACATAAAATTTATTAAATATGAAAGATGTTCCGTATCCGTGCTTCATAGGTCTTAGCTATTTTGAGTCATGGCTCGATTATTTATTAAATATGTTTATATTCAGATTTAACTAGCAGTGAACCCTGCAATGCACAAAATTTATAATTCTTCTGAAGTCTTTTAATTTTTTTTACCTATCAATTGGGGTATTAATAAAATTATAATAAATTAAAGTGATACAAATAAACTTGAATAAGTGATAGTTAGTTAATGAGACACGTGGTAGAATGTGAATGAAAAAAACTCATGTTGTAATAAATAAATTAACACTATAAGAAAAAAGAAAATAGGGAGAAAAGGCATTCTATAGTTCTAGTACAGATTTAGGTGTAATTGGCTAGACTCAAACTAAAGCCAAACTTTTACAATAACTTGCTATCATTTGAGGTGAGCTCAAAACTCACTTTCTTAGTAAATTTTTTAAAAATTGGGCCTTAGAATTTGGTAGTTAATCCTAAAATAATTAAATTCTCAACCAAAAATTCCCGTGAAATATTTTTAGTGAATTATAAAATAAAAACCCTACAGCTTCAAAATTTTCAAATATCTATTTCCATATATAGAAAGAAAGAAGTATATATTAAAGTTATTAGCAATGGACCTGTGCTTCTAGACACTATGTAATAATATTAAAATATTAAATTAATTCTCAAAATTTCGTTCCTACCCATAAATTTTCAAATTTAACAACCTAGATAATATTTATCTCAGAATTGTTAAATTTTCTTCTGAGCACGATTCTGTTTGTTTTTTATACTTGGTCATTGTAAATAGTACCCCGAGGGGAATGGGGGAGAGATGAGATATCCAAAATCACATGATTTAAAATGTCATAACTCTCTAGACAAAAAATTATATTTTGGAGAGTCAATTTTATCCGTCAAATTAATTACAAATATTTATTAATTAATCTAGAACGTTCAAACAAATTTATAAATTGGGAGATTCAAAATCTTTTGTACTTTATTATATATATTTGAGAATATATTTTAGATTAGAATTATTTATAAACAAGAACTTATTCCAGCCAAAATATAATTTGGCTTTTAAATTTGATCAAAATTGATTTATTTTAAAATTTGAACGAGCCAAGACCGAGGTAAAAAAAAAAACCAAACTTGACCTGTTCAGCAGATAATCAAAACTACTATTGTAATCATGATTTGCATAAAACAGAAAGGGCTCTTTCAACCTGAATAACCAACCAACCAAACTAAAATTCAGGAATCATTTATCTGATTTATCCTAAACTAAAAGGCGAATGACACTTTATAGCTTAAAAGTTTTATAAATTCTCAATTTATGCACAAAAACTTAGGCTACACCGTTACTGGCAATTATATAAATACCCTAAAATGCTGATCTCCCCAGCAGACTTATTAAAGGAACATCAAGAAGTCCAACTAATGAACCAATTCATTACAAGTAAATATCACATACAACAGAGAAAAGTTTGTTAGCTTGTAGTTTCATCATCCACTTAACAAAATTCCATCCTTTTCCACTAAAAGTACCCTTCAACCAGCATTCCACTCCTTTGATCTGATGAGTATGAGGGATAAATAAAGTTTTGAGACTTGTAGCTCAGTTTTAGGGTCTGCTTAATTCTGCAGTGTTTGATTGGCCAAGACATGTCCCGGTCTAACGGCCGATGAAACCAAACCAGTGAAGGATGACTGCCAAAATGAGTATACATACTGCCAATATCATGCCAGGCCTACCTAGTAGCCAATTTTTTGTCTTCCTTGCACCTTCGACTCCTCGTTGAATCCTTTCCACCCACTTCATCTGCAACGACAATTAAACAAAATTTAAGGGAAAAGAAAAGGGTATTCTGCATGCAGGTGCATGTAATGGTCAAGTCTAATATTTAGCCACAATAAGCTTAATCAATACAACCAAACAGCTATTGTCTCAAAGCCTCATGGATGCACATCATTGAAGTTCATGTTCTGTTGGTCCCAACTCAAGGTTGAGGTACCCTGCTGATATTTGTAACAGCACTTGACTAGACTACTATGTAATAATCCCATAATAAAATAAACTAAAAATATATATGAGGCAAAGCATCGAATTTAAGAAGCCAAAGTGTTACTTCTCAGAAGTTTTGGGGAAAGAGAAAAGTATAAAATAGGTAAGACAAGCACGCTTTTAAACTGTAATCATGGGCCGTATGACTTGTCCACAACAATTCACTATCAAATTCTCTGGTGGTGTTGGCACCAACTGAGTGAATGACAAAAATAATGAGCGCAAATCCTCTTTTCATTTTATCCGACACTGTGAAATGTGTTGGGGATTGACAACAACCAGTGCTACACCACAACAACTCTTGGTTCCATAATACTCAATAATATGATAACGAAACGTGACAGAATGTTCAAAAAATTTAAAAACATTCTTCCACCAAAAGCATACAAGGTTTTTTCTCTCAAGAGTAAAAATTACTTTCCAGGGGAAAAAACATTTAGAGTAACAGCAACAGATCCATATCAATGACTACAGATCAATAAGAAATACTGAGGGCATATTTATTAAGGTCTACAACTTGGAATTAAGAACCAAAAATAAGTGAATCTTTGCAGCAATTTTAATTCTCACTTGTTTGTTTATTTTACACTGAAAAAATTCAGGTGCTTTTTAAGTTTATTCTTTGCTTTGATTTGTTCAAATTGCTGCAAAAACCATGGCTTCAGGTGACTTCATATTTCGGACAAAGAGGATAGAACATTGGAGGAAAAAATTTAATAACAAAAATAAAAATGTTGGCTAACAAAGCAACTTCTCATACATATAAATGCTTCTACACTTCAGAACTAAGGAAAACCATCAACAAATCAAATCCCACTAAAATCCAAATTGACAACAATAACTGCGCCAATAACATATATTTACTTATGTATATCCTTGTTTGACAACAGCAATGTAAATAATATTAATAACAATTGGGATGCTTTTGTGACATACATGCTTGCACCATCTAATTTATTGCAATGGGAACGGATATAACTAGGTATCAGTCAAACGAGAAATTCAAAAGTATATCGATTTTTTGACATTTTTGTTGCCAAGTTATAGATAGCAACTGTGACACATGGACTCCAAAAAATTGTCATATGGGGTGTAAATTAAGCAAGAAGATACCATTTTATCCAAGTTGTCAGGTGAGAACGATGACATGGCTTGTTGAGCTTTTTCTGCATCCTCCCGCGAAAGCTTTAGTCCAAATTGTTCACTCATGCTTGCCATCATGTCTGGGCTCATATTTTTAACTATCGATGAGAACATCTGCCAATTTTCATGACATCAAAGATTTGAACAATAAACTAAATACAAGCACAGTTCTTTACACAACAAAGCACATCAGGGATCCGCATGGAAACAAAAATCATTTCATGGTGTATTATAACAACAGAAAGAAAATCATATTGCTCTAAAAGGCAATATGACAAATGTGGTATCATTGCGAAAAATGGGTCACAAGCAGGATGTGGATTGTGTAGCTCTTGAAGTATATGAAGATATTCTACTCACCACACAAGCGACAACCATTAGATGTGATGATAGACAATAGGCTGTATTGAAAAGTTTTCCACATCCCAAAAAAAAAAAAGAAAAGAAAAGAAAACAGAATTGAAGGGTTGTGGAGCATGACAGAATAATTTCATTGGCATGAGATCTCAGGAAATGTCCTGAATCTGTATTTACTTATCGCAGTCAGGACTCCCAGGGTTCAATTTCGTATCTTTCTTTTTCAAACTTGTCAATGTTTCACTTGGAAATTGAAGAGAGTTTGACAGTTAAACCGTAAACATAACGGGAAAAAGAAAGCAGAAAATCAATGAATGCATAGGCCGCTTCCAATCCCCACCCCACACCCCAACTCAAAAAAAGAACAAAACTAAGAAAAAAGACAATAAACCCAACAGCTAAAAACAGGGAACAGGAAACGAACAAGGAATTCCAGTTGAATACCTGCCGCATAGCTGGATCGTTCATTTGGTTTCTCATTTTCTCTTGCAGGTCAGCACTCGAGCTTGGAAAGCCCGACTGAGGAGCACTTCTTGAATTAAGAAAACCTTGAGAACTACTTTCACCAAAATTATCTCCACTAACTTCAAAACTTTCCCCAGTTTCTGAAGTTTCTAACCCACTATCTGATCTAAGCCCACTAGAATGTGAAGCAGCAGCAGCTGATGATGATGCTGATCCTGGAACTTTTTCTCTCACAGATGATGCCATCTCAAACATTTTCTGAAGTTCTTCTGATGACATCTTACTCATCATATCGGTTGCAGTTTTAAGCATGTCAGGTGTCCCAAAATCTGATCTAAGCCCACTAGAATGTAAAGCAGCAGCAGCTGATGCTGATCCTGGAGCTTTTTCTCTCACAGATGATGCCATCTCAAACATTTTCTGAAGTTCTTCTGATGGCATTTTACTCATCATATCGGTTGCAGTTTTAAGCATGTCAGGTGTCAAGTCTGGTGGAACCAAACCAGGACTAAAGCTGTCGAAATTAGAGTTTGAGGAGCCTTTCCCTAAATAGGGATTTTTCCCTTGAAAGGAGGAAGCCATTTGTACCATTCTTTGAAGTTCTTCAGGTGACATCTTGCTAATCACATTCGAGGCAGTCTTCACCATATCAGGAGATATCCCCTCTACTTTTCCACCGCCCAGAGCAGCCAGAGTTTCTGGATCAGCGCGAGAAATAAAATTTTGGAAGGATCTATGCAATTCACCACAAGAAAAAAAGAGAATGTGGATTAATTGATATATTCTCCGGTAGACAAAAATTGAAGAAATATATACGTCGTCGAAACAAGTTTAAAACACAAAAGAAGAGGAAGAGAGTGGAGCAGAAAGAAAGAAAGGAAGAAAGAAGCAGCAGCAAAAAAGAACCACACAAACAAAGTCCAGTCTTATACCGACAACCTAGCATCAATCATCTATATTTCACAGCATAAGTACTGAATCGNGAGGAAGAGAGTGGAGCAGAAAGAAAGAAAGGAAGAAAGAAGCAGCAGCAAAAAAGACCACACAAACAAAGTCCAGTCTTATACCGACAACCTAGCATCAATCATCTATATTTCACAGCATGAGTACTGCATCATAGTCTCTCAATGTGAACACACGTTTATGCATGAATACAACTCCCAGACCCCCCTCCTCCCTCCCTAATGGCCCAAAAAAATTAAAATGAAAAAAAGCACAAACAAGCACAGAGATGTTTACCAATCGTAAGTTATTTGTTTCAACATACGCACAAATGTGTCAGAACATCATACCCCATCAATCAGATGTTAAACACCACAATTTTTCCTTGTTTCTCCTTCCACAATACATATTGAAACCCCTCCGTATTTAACAAGATTGTGTAAGTTGAATTAAAAACATGGAAAAGGCTACACAAACATGGCTATACATCTGTCAATTAAATAATTTCAAGCGGGACATTACACATACAATCAAATACAAGATGCACAAATGAAAATGATAAAAGTTATGGAAACAAGTAGATTCTGTCTTTTTGAAATTATTAAACAACCATTTACTCTAAAAGTTTAAACTATTAGAGAGAGTGTAACTTAAAGTATTTATACTTCAAGACCTCTCCTCATGTGCAAACTAGATTTTGAGTCAAGCATATGAAAATAATTTAATTATCAGGTTAGCGGTAAAATCCGAACACAAGACCTCCTATTCTAGTACCATATTAACCAACCATCTACTCTAAAAGTTTAAGTTGTTACAGAGGATGTAACTTAAAGTATTTATACTTCAGCATAAACTAATAAGAGGAGACATGAAGAGAAGTCCTAAAAATTAGAAGCCACGATTATATTTTCCCATGCATGCCATGCCATTTTAATGAGCAGAGTAGGTGCAATATGATTCTTATCATTCGTTTGCCTTCTTTAGTCAGTCATTTGTCTTATTTCTCTCCATTACAAATACTTGTGCCTATAAATAACTCTAATGGGCAAGGATCAAAATTTTATTTCGGTGCATAGATTTGGTCAACTACGAAACGAAAAAAATTCAAATATGTTTTCAAAACATTTTGAAAACATGATGGAAACAAATAAAAAATTGAAATTTTGTTTATCAAACATTGATAGAACTATATCAAAACACCCCGAAACATACTGAGACACATCAAAACATAGGAATTTCAACATTTTCATCACTAATTTGTTTCGGTTTTCATGAAAATGAATACATTTAGAACATTTCGGTTGTTTTGAAACAAAATTTAGTTATTTTGTTCCTTTCATCAAAGATGTTTTGAGAAGCTAGAGTGCCTTTAAAGGTGCAAGACNTTTCATGAAAATGAATACATTTAGAACATTTCGGTTGTTTTGAAACAAAATTTAGTTCTTTTGTTCCCTTCATCAAAGATGTTTTGAGAAGCTAGAGTGCCTTTAAAGGTGCAAGATTATATATGGATAATTGTTCATGGAAAGGTTAACACCTATGATGTGCTTTAAAGAAGGAAACCCATGGCTTTTTTCCTACACAACAGTGGTGTGTTCTGTGTAAAGGTGATAGTGAGACTGTGGACCATTTATTCTTAGATTGTCCTATCAAGTTCTCACTATGAAATAGATTGTATAGCTATATGAGTATGCGTATATGTTGGGTGCCACCGATAACTTTATTACCATGATATGCTTGGTTGATGTTAGAGATGGTGGGCATAGACGTTGGAAGACTATTTGACGTTTGGCTTGCTTCGCTACTATTTGGGATACTTAGTTAGAAAGTAATGTGAGGATTTTTTATAATAAGTGTGAGGAAGTTGAAGGCCTTTGGGAAAGTATTTATTATTTGGCTTTTTTTTGGACATCGATCACTAATGAGTTTGAGAATACTCCATTTTTCTGCATTCACCTCGAGTTGACCAGTTTCATGTGTAATGTAGTTTTGGGTCTTTTAAAGTTGTATTTTTATTTTATTTTATTTTGGTGTGTCTTTGATTTGGACGACTTCTCCACCTTCAACTCATCTTTTTTTTTTTAACTTTCTCTGGTCTTTTATGATTAATAATAGCACCATTTTTTATTGGACAAAAGATAAAACCATATTTATTGGAAAAAATGCGACCAACAAGGGAAAAAAAAAAGGTAAGCACAATGCAAAGGCAACCTTCAAAAGTATCCATTCATATGACCCATCATTGTGCTAGAAGGGGAGGGAAACGAAAAAGGAAAAAAAAATATTTTTAGAATGCAACAAAGAAATTCCTCATTTGGAATAAACAAACAAGATACAGAACAAATCCCTTATGGATGCAAACCAACCTGATAGATTCTGGATCATCTTTTAAAGCCTGTAAAGACTCTGTATCTGTTGATGGAACCACATCGGGGATGTCAATTCGACCATTAGAGCAGCCACTGGTTTCTTTTGGTCGTGAGACAGGATATTCTGTAGGTTTACTTTCACAGATTTCAGGTGAAACCGTCTGGACTTCTTCTGTTATTTCTTCAATAACTAACCCTGTTTGACCAAAAAATAAAAAATAAATTTTTTTTTTTTTAGGAAAGTAGCATATATGTGCCCCATAAGTTGTGGGAGTTTTGGTTGCTTAAATCAAAACTACCAACTTCAGCAAAATACCTCTCGAAGCATGCTCTCCACTTTCTTTCATGAATCTTTCTTTAGCACCCCTGTGTCCATCAGAAAACATAAAAAACATGCCAAATGAAGAACCTAGTATCTATCTGAGATCATGATTGAGGTAGTTGACATTTTAACAATGTACCAAAAAATGAGAGATGAGAGGTCGTATGACTTAAAAGTACTTATCACTAAAATATATTTAATATTACAGCTAAGAAATTGAATTGAATTCTCAACTTATAAGATCACAACAACGGTCACCATTGATCCAATGATACAAAATTCATCTCAAATTTTTTTCGGCTCAAAAATATCATTTTTTCTACACAGCCCTCAATTTCAGATAACTAAACCAACACACTTCGTAATACCATACAGCCCCAGTAATTCACTCTTACCTCTCTTTCTTCTCTTCTCTATCTCTCTGTTATTTTCTCTATGTTCACATTAATTTTAAATTGCATAATTCAAAAAAAGGAAAGGAAAAATAAATTTTTATTTAAAATATAAATGTTGAACGACCAACGCTCAATTTTTTATATTATAGATTGTATTCACATACGAAGTTATTACTAGTATGCGGTGACAATGAATCTGGATATCCTAAATGCTCGGACCAATTTGGGTGGCCTAGTACAAAAAAAAGTACAATTCCACCTTGAGAAAAAATGGTTTGACGCTTTCAAACCTAAGAATAATTGATGACAGACATGCCAAGTATGCCACTCTTTCTCCTGCGAGGTGCATACTTAAACTTATCAAAGTGAAGTCAACAGTAAGGGCAAAACATCTGTGAAAGACTAGATCCCATACCTTAAGACATCTGCGATAGTTTCATCGTCAGGAGAAACTTCATGTGCTTTGCTCAAGTCAGACACTGCATCCTAGCATATTTCAGAATGTCTATAAGATAACAGAAACAGATTTAAAGGGAGATGTCCCTAAGAAGAACAATGCTGCAACCCATCAAAAAGGAATAGAACTGAATGAACACTCACTTCTAGTCGTCCTACTTCATTGTATGCTTGACCCCTGCGGTAAAGAGCTTTGACATTCTTTGCATCAAGTGCCAAGACCTGTAGCATACCCAATATGTAAGAAATTCTTCCTCCCATTCATATGAAGCAAATAGGCACTCAATATCGTAAGTGTCATGCGCCCTATAATCAAACAAAGCACACGTCCAATATGTACAAAAAAGGGAATGAGCCACCATTAAAGAAAGTATTTCCCCTTCTCCTCCAATTTCTATGATATATTATATATAACAATGAATTTCTTAGTCTCTCATTTCCTTTATTTGCTGCAAGTTTCAATTCAAGATGATTATTTTAGATTCTAAGAACAAAACACAGTGAAACTAGAAGCCACAATTAACTTGCCCATACCTCTGTACCTTCGCTTATGCACTCATCAAACTGCTTTGTTCTTAGGTAGCACGACATCAAATTAAGAGAGCATGCCATCAGGAGACTTCTACATTTGGAAGCTGGGATGCCTTTTAGATTTTTCTTTGCCTAAAGATTTTTGAAAAATAATATAAATTTCATCGTTACATAGGCTAAAATCCAAAGAGAACCAACACATGAAACATAAAGACGTAAATTAACACAAATGCCACACTCACGAGCAAATATTTCTGCAAGGCATCATTAAACATTCCCTGGCCGTGAAGTTCATTGCCCTGCCATAATGTAAAATGGATCCATGAGCACATGTTAGATGCCAATTTGTAAACAAAAGATCAGTCGCATGTCAGTGAAAATGTGTCCTTGCAAGTACACAAAAAATGTTACTAAATGTACATTTGTAGCTTCATTATAAGAAATTTGACCTCAAACGTTAGGCTGTAGACATTTCCATTACATTCATATATCACCTCACATATTTTGCACTTACCTAGATATAAATAATTGCATGGATGCATCAATTTAAAATTTTAATATCTTTCCAAGCCGGAAAAGGAACTTCAACTATAATATTTTCTTGCAAATATAATTTTCAAAGGAAATGTTGATCTATAAAACTGTAAGAATGCGAAGTCAGAATTGAAAATACCCCAACTTCTTAAATATCAAAATCCACCCTGAAAAAAATAGTAAAAATTATCCTAAAGTATAATAGAGTAATCTAATGCGCCAAAAGAGAATAACAGGGATTAGCAATCAGGTCCTCTCTAGCTTAACTTTTGGAAGATTGTGATGTTCACTATAGCCAGGAAAAAATCTTATGCAATATTTACCATCTCTTCAGTTTGGTGAAAAATCCCAGCAAAGTGGTACTCTTACCACATAATTAAAAACACACCACTCCAGTTTCTAAGGAAGACATCAAAAATTCAAGCATAATTTCTGGGGGCATGTATTAGTGTTGAGCTCTTAGTAATGATATATGTTATATATCTTGTGTTGCATGTGGTTTCACATTGTTCTCTTCATTCAGAATGGAGGGTGCGGAAGCAGGAGGGAACAGTTACATGAAATTTAAGGAAGTAGCCTAATATTTGAACTCCGGGTTTATCCTTTCCAAGGACAAGAGATCTTTGCAAAACCCACTCAAATTTCTTTAAAAATAGGTCAGTGTGACTTAGAAGTCTGCACAGTTCACAAAGGAGCCCCACGATGAAATGCAAAATTAGGTCAAAGGAACACTTCTTAGCCAGAATGAAAAGTAAAAGAAACGAGGGTTTTACTTAGTTTAATTGCCAACCAAGACATTTAGAGATGCATTTATATTTTTGAAAATAAATGTCGTAGGAAAAACACCATAACATGGCCCCTCTCTAGAGTAAAGTCAATCACCAAGTTGTCAAGTGTAATAAAGAAGGAGACCTAGTGCACAAGGCTCCCGCCAGTGCAGGATCTTACAAGAGTAAGATGCACACAGTCTTACCTCCGCATGCAAAGACGCTATTTTCACAACTCGACCCTTGACGCCCAGATCGTAAGGGATTCAATTCAAGTGGTAAAAAGTGTGATTGGTTGACGTAGACCTAATCTTTCCAAGTCAATAATAGTATAAAAGAAAATGATAAGAAGAACATGTTCTCCTATGTTTGTTCTTCTCACCCCAGTCCCCCCTCAAACATGCAGTATTGGTATTATAACTTATAAGTGGTATAGCAACATGGATTAACAATCACAACTTTGCTGGCTGACAAATTACCTGGTTCTTCAGCATTTGAGCTGCATTTATGTCATGAGTAATCTGCGCCTCCATATGGGCACGCATAGCAGAAAACTCTTCAGGTGTTGCATTGGCCATCTTCTCACCAATCTCAGCCATTTCCTCTGGACGGGTATGTTTCATCTGTTCAGCAGCATATCTGAAGTCTTCAGGCTTCATGTTTTTCATGCTTTCTGTAGCCATTCTCATCAACTCGGGATTAGACATCATCTGCAATGTCAACCATAGAGTACAACCATAAATAAAAAACAAGAACACAATTCCACTGGAAAAAACCAGAATCAACAGATGGGTAGAATTTCCAAAGCCAGCGAAAGTTTTGGCTTTTTTTCAAGACTGATGTTAATGCATCATTAGAGTGACATAATGTAATAGTCGGGAAAGGTGTCCCAAGTGTAATTGCTAAGTTTAGAAACATCAGCATCATCATAAATGTAAAATACATTAAGTCCTCTCAAATACTTTAGTTTAAATTACGAGGTCCAAAGTATAAGCTTAATAGCTTGTAGAGGTCTGGTTATGGCATTTGGCCATAACTACTTAAATATATCTAGTGACCTCCAGGCATTCTAATTTTTATACCCAGCTCCCTAGTTTTGAAAATTTTCAGTAATCGAAGCTTTACTGGAACAATTGTGCCTATCCTAGTAAAAACAACACTGTTGTGGCTATTTATAGTATGAATTTGAATCCTCACAATACTAACTTTATGGACAATTAATTAATAACAGATGTGCCATTGGTGACATTTAACAAAAAATTAATCTTCCAAAATTTAAATCCTAAACCAACATAAACCCAATACAAGTACTAATGCTGACATCTAACAAACCATAAATCCACAAGAGTGATGCAAGATTGCAACAAAAAATACCTTTGGCTGTATTTCTGACTTCAATTTGAAGCTATTTCTATTTAACATGATTAGCAACTCAATAATCCAACAAAAAGGCTATTCACTCTAACTTATAAGCTACAAACATCAAGAAGCAAAAATCCATACACTGAATCATCAAAGTTATGCTTACAAAAATAAGCGAACTACATTGCACATGGGTTATATCAAAGCACACACTCCAACTTACAGGCTAAGAGCATCAAATCAACATATTCATATGGTGATAAATTACAACTAATTAAATTGAAAATGGGCTCTCTCAAAAGCTTCAACAACGTAGACAGAAACTTGTATTCGCTCCAAATTACAAGGTCAAAGCATCAAAAGAGAATCGTAAACAAACCTACGATCACCAGACTCGTGTCAATTAGACTTATTACATTGTATTCTACATGGGTTTTATCAGAATCTTCAAAATTCAAACATACAAAGCTCAAATTCTCCGAATTATAGTTTAAAAACATCAAATAATCAAATTTTCATATACGCAGGAACAGCAAACGGCTTTCGTAATAGTATTTATATTCAAACTGCACAAGGCTTCGATCAAAACCTTTAATTTACACATAAAATTCAAAAATAAAGATGGGTTTCGCAAAAAGACTATCACCTGTTGTTGAATCCGAGCCAACTCACTGGGTGACATGCGACTCATCTGTTCTTGAGCCATTCTGATCATCTCAGGATCCATCATGTTGAGCATTCTCAGACCCTTCTTACAAATCGAAGCCAAAAACCACAAAGCTGAACAGAGGTTGATTTGATTCCTTATATTGAAGAGCAGATTGATAGATTTGGGATAAAATTTTCGGGCTTTCTCAGCAGACCCAAACCCAAATCAAAGCTTAAAAAAAATACCAAGATGGCCAGAGGTTGATTTGATTTCTTATATAGAAGAGAAGATTGATAGATTTGGGATAAATTTTCTGGTATATCTCAGGAGACCCAAACCCAAATCAAAGCTAAAAAAAAACTACCCAGATGAACAGAGGTTAAGAGAAGCTTGATAGATTTGGGTTGAAAAATTGGGGTATCCAAGGAGAGCCAGGAATTGACAATGTTCAGAATCCTAGAAGAGTTGGGCTTGATTTGGTGGAATTGGCGATGATGATGATCTTTCTACAAAGAGTTTGAATATTGTTGTATTTGTCTTTATTGGTTGGACGCCCACCAGACCACAAAGGAAAGCTGGCAAAAGAGAACCCTCCCTGCGAAGATTGGAAAGTCTTCTTTTAGCTTCGTCGAAATTACATGGATGCCACCGTACAATTAAATTAATTGATATAAATTAATATGAATTAAATGAATTTGGACGAAACTTTAATCAATTTAGATGATAAATGAATTAATTCGTTAAACCCATTTAATAAATAGATCATATTTGAATGAGACATATCAATCCGTTTAAGTAAAATTAATATAATAATAAATTAATAATTATTTAAAAAAATTAACCATAATTTTTTTGCTTTTTTAATGATAGCCATAAAAAATATATAAGTTATCGNAGGACAAGAGATCTTAGCAAAACCCACTCAAATTTCTTTAAAAATAGGTCAGTGTGACTTAGAAGTCTGCACAGTTCACAAAGGAGCCCCACGATGAAATGCAAAATTAGGTCAAAGGAACACTTCTTAGCCAGAATGAAAAGTAAAAGAAACGAGGGTTTTACTTAGTTTAATTGCCAACCAAGACATTTAGAGATGCATTTATATTTTTGAAAATAAATGTCGTAGGAAAAACACCATAACATGGCCCCTCTCTAGAGTAAAGTCAATCACCAAGTTGTCAAGTGTAATAAAGAAGGAGACCTAGTGCACAAGGCTCCCGCCAGTGCAGGATCTTACAAGAGTAAGATGCACACAGTCTTACCTCCGCATGCAAAGACGCTATTTTCACAACTCGACCCTTGACGCCCAGATCGTAAGGGATTCAATTCAAGTGGTAAAAAGTGTGATTGGTTGACGTAGACCTAATCTTTCCAAGTCAATAATAGTATAAAAGAAAATGATAAGAAGAACATGTTCTCCTATGTTTGTTCTTCTCACCCCAGTCCCCCCTCAAACATGCAGTATTGGTATTATAACTTATAAGTGGTATAGCAACATGGATTAACAATCACAACTTTGCTGGCTGACAAATTACCTGGTTCTTCAGCATTTGAGCTGCATTTATGTCATGAGTAATCTGCGCCTCCATATGGGCACGCATAGCAGAAAACTCTTCAGGTGTTGCATTGGCCATCTTCTCACCAATCTCAGCCATTTCCTCTGGACGGGTATGTTTCATCTGTTCAGCAGCATATCTGAAGTCTTCAGGCTTCATGTTTTTCATGCTTTCTGTAGCCATTCTCATCAACTCGGGATTAGACATCATCTGCAATGTCAACCATAGAGTACAACCATAAATAAAAAACAAGAACACAATTCCACTGGAAAAAACCAGAATCAACAGATGGGTAGAATTTCCAAAGCCAGCGAAAGTTTTGGCTTTTTTTCAAGACTGATGTTAATGCATCATTAGAGTGACATAATGTAATAGTCGGGAAAGGTGTCCCAAGTGTAATTGCTAAGTTTAGAAACATCAGCATCATCATAAATGTAAAATACATTAAGTCCTCTCAAATACTTTAGTTTAAATTACGAGGTCCAAAGTATAAGCTTAATAGCTTGTAGAGGTCTGGTTATGGCATTTGGCCATAACTACTTAAATATATCTAGTGACCTCCAGGCATTCTAATTTTTATACCCAGCTCCCTAGTTTTGAAAATTTTCAGTAATCGAAGCTTTACTGGAACAATTGTGCCTATCCTAGTAAAAACAACACTGTTGTGGCTATTTATAGTATGAATTTGAATCCTCACAATACTAACTTTATGGACAATTAATTAATAACAGATGTGCCATTGGTGACATTTAACAAAAAATTAATCTTCCAAAATTTAAATCCTAAACCAACATAAACCCAATACAAGTACTAATGCTGACATCTAACAAACCATAAATCCACAAGAGTGATGCAAGATTGCAACAAAAAATACCTTTGGCTGTATTTCTGACTTCAATTTGAAGCTATTTCTATTTAACATGATTAGCAACTCAATAATCCAACNAGCTTTACTGGAACAATTGTGCCTATCCTAGTAAAAACAACACTGTTGTGGCTATTTCAAAAAATACCTTTGGCTGTATTTCTGACTTCAATTTGAAGCTATTTCTATTTAACATGATTAGCAACTCAATAATCCAACAAAAAGGCTATTCACTCTAACTTATAAGCTACAAACATCAAGAAGCAAAAATCCATACACTGAATCATCAAAGTTATGCTTACAAAAATAAGCGAACTACATTGCACATGGGTTATATCAAAGCACACACTCCAACTTACAGGCTAAGAGCATCAAATCAACATATTCATATGGTGATAAATTACAACTAATTAAATTGAAAATGGGCTCTCTCAAAAGCTTCAACAACGTAGACAGAAACTTGTATTCGCTCCAAATTACAAGGTCAAAGCATCAAAAGAGAATCGTAAACAAACCTACGATCACCAGACTCGTGTCAATTAGACTTATTACATTGTATTCTACATGGGTTTTATCAGAATCTTCAAAATTCAAACATACAAAGCTCAAATTCTCCGAATTATAGTTTAAAAACATCAAATAATCAAATTTTCATATACGCAGGAACAGCAAACGGCTTTCGTAATAGTATTTATATTCAAACTGCACAAGGCTTCGATCAAAACCTTTAATTTACACATAAAATTCAAAAATAAAGATGGGTTTCGCAAAAAGACTATCACCTGTTGTTGAATCCGAGCCAACTCACTGGGTGACATGCGACTCATCTGTTCTTGAGCCATTCTGATCATCTCAGGATCCATCATGTTGAGCATTCTCAGACCCTTCTTACAAATCGAAGCCAAAAACCACAAAGCTGAACAGAGGTTGATTTGATTCCTTATATTGAAGAGCAGATTGATAGATTTGGGATAAAATTTTCGGGCTTTCTCAGCAGACCCAAACCCAAATCAAAGCTTAAAAAAAATACCAAGATGGCCAGAGGTTGATTTGGTTTCTTATATAGAAGAGAAGATTGATAGATTTGGGATAAATTTTCTGGTATATCTCAGGAGACCCAAACCCAAATCAAAGCTAAAAAAAAACTACCCAGATGAACAGAGGTTAAGAGAAGCTTGATAGATTTGGGTTGAAAAATTGGGGTATCCAAGGAGAGCCAGGAATTGACAATGTTCAGAATCCTAGAAGAGTTGGGCTTGATTTGGTGGAATTGGCGATGATGATGATCTTTCTACAAAGAGTTTGAATATTGTTGTATTTGTCTTTATTGGTTGGACGCCCACCAGACCACAAAGGAAAGCTGGCAAAAGGGAACCCTCCCTGCGAAGATTGGAAAATCTTCTTTTAGCTTCGTCGAAATTACATGGATGCCATTTCTCCCCACTATATTAACATGGGGCTACAGGTAGGCCAGTTACGCTATGACACCGTACAATTAAATTAATTGATATAAATAGATTTGGACGGGACTTTAATCAATTCAGGTGATAAATGAATTAATTCGTTAAATCCATTTAATAAATGGATCATATTTGAGTGAGACATATCAATTTGAGTGAGACATATTAATTCGTTTAAGTAAAATTAATATAATAATAAATTAATAATTATTTAAAGAAATTAACCATAATTTTTTTTGCTTTTTTAATGATAGCCATAAAAAATATATAAGTTATCTTTCCAAATTCCCTAATTCCAAACCCTAATCCTCATTCAGTCTCCCGTTTCCTCTGTAACCTTCGTCTTCCGGCTTCAACGTCGCACCTCCAAGCCTCCAAGTCTGCAACTGAAGCTCTTACTCCTCCTCCTCCTCCTCCTCTCTCTCTCTCTCTCTTGCCAGACAACGACTCAGCAAGCAGCTGGTATCTTCGAAGACTTCGACGATTAACCAAGCTGTAAGTTTTTCTTTTTAATTTGTTAGCAAGTTGACAATTAACCAAGTTGTAATCAACTGATATAACTTAGAATGCCCATTGATGCAGCTGATGCTTCTAATTTGTTAGCAAGTTTTGAACTCCTACACAACCATAAAAGGAAAGCAAACATAGAAGAGAATGAGTTTTCTTTCTTTCAAAATTGATGCAAAATGGGTTGTGGAAATAACGTAAGAGTGCTGCTCATAAAACCTGAAGCCAACCCAGAAGCCAACCCCCTTTGAAATTAAAACTTGGATTAAAACCCTACCCACCAACCCCCTTTGAAATTAACCTTACTTGACAGAATATATGTTTAGGAACATAAAACAGAATATATGCTTAGGAACATAAAACAGAATATATGCTCCTAAATTCAACAAATTGTCTGATATTAGCATTCTGTATGGCTTAAGGTTATTGTGTTGGCTTGAATGACTTTATGTATTTGATATCAGAGTATATGCTCAAGGCTATTGTGTTGGCTTGATGTCAGAATATATGCTTGAGTTTGATTAATCATCATTTTGTATTTGATATCAGTATTCTGCCTATTTTTATTATTGGGTATCAGCATTAGTTCATAATCTTATAGTTTCTCATGAATGGCTTTCCTTTGCTTTAAACAAAATGGATTTTTTCGAACACAATATTATAGTTTTTGATGAAAAAGATGAGGTCGGGTATGAATCTAAGGTCAATGCAGATCCAACAACACATACATTAATTGGTACAACTATAGAAAAAAGTAAATCAAATCGTAAGCGAGAAAAGATGAATCTAGTGATGATTCAGAAGGGAAAATAGATGATGATGTTTTCAATCAAAATATGAAGTCTAATAAAGCTAAATCCGTTCAATGTTCTAATTCTATATCTATCATTGATCATGACTGAAGAGGTATTGAAATATATAGCTTGTAATGCCATGTTTTTGTTATTTATCTAGTTATGAGTCTATTTAATAAGTAATGTTATATAATATTCATTTTTAATTTGTGTAGGGTATGAAAATTTGGTTGTTGAATCTGCTCGTTGTCATGGAGGTGGATATTTGATATCTTTCATGGGATTTTGTGAATCATGACATTTGGTGGAGTTTGGTTTTGTGTGTTCTTTGGTGTAATTATGTTATTTCAGATTGTATTTATGATTTGTAATATGGTTGTTGGTAGAATTTAATTGTTTTGGATTGTGGTTTGTATTTT